ACAAGAGCGTTTCAAAGGACTTGAAACAGTTTCAAGAAATTTTGACTTTTTACAACCACTGAATTTAATTAAGTACAGTGAAGAGAATATAATTATATTATATAGTCATGTTATGACTTCATTTCATTTTATAGTACTGATGTTTCGTCTGATTTGACCAGGCAAGTTTTATCATTAAGAGATTTTCTAGGAAAAACTGAAATGAAAACAATAAAAGAATTGTCTTTATATATTATAGAAAATGATATTTCATCACTTTTTAGTGAAATACTTACTGCCTGCATAATTTTTTTGTCTCTACCTGTAACTGTTGCATCGGCAGAACGCTCTTTTTCGAAACTTAACTTGATTAAAAATTATTTACGAAATTCAATTTCACAGGAACGGCTAACAAATATAAGCATTTTAAACATTGAAAAAGCAAGAACAGATGAATTGAATATTGATTACATAATTGATACTTTTGAAAATCAAAAAGCAAGAAAAAAAACTTTTTAAAGTAAACATAGTATTAAAAATTACCCATATTTAATGAAATCAATTTTATTGTTATTTTTTTATTATTTATAATTTTATAAATTATATATTATGTGTTTTCATGAAGATAGTGTTTAATATATTTTATTACTAAGGTGTTTCACAAAGTGGTTCTTTCTATCTTATTATTTTATCAAAAAATAGAAAATAATGAATACATTAGAATAATAAAAATTATTATTTATTATGATAATAAAACAAAGTCCTAACCAAAGTTATAACAAAATAATGAAAATAATAATTTAATATTCTCGAATTTCTTAATTTTGCTATGTTGTGACAGCTGATTCTCAATTTAAATGTTTATTGCATTTAAATTGGGAAAAGAAAGAAAATAAATGTTTTTAAGTGCAGCTATCACTGCTCCTCAGTCCTCACCTATATGTGTTCAAAGTTCTACCTATCTGTAAGCAGTATAAAGCAGTTTATATTATATTAACCACATAACATAATGTATATAGCTAAAAACAACAAGCAATATGTAATGACCTATTGGTGCATGAAGATGGTCTCAACTAGTATTAAATTTCTGGGGGGGTCCACCTAACAAAACTATTAATTTAAAATAACCTATAAGCGGCTTGTATCTAAATAAATAAGAAATATTTTTTGGAGGGGTCTGAATCGTATTCGGGGGGGGGGGGGGGGGCTTTGCCCCCCTCCTCATATTGTTGTGCCTCTGTACATGGGCCCTTTTAGTTGGTCGCACACCCACCAATATGTACCAAGTTGCGGCACTGAACACACTCTCAACACAGTTATTTTTTACAGACATTATATAATTATGTAATCATATAATAGGTAACTACTAAATACAATGCATTTGAAATATATAAATATAAAAATCCTAGTTCCATAAATTGTTAGATATCGTTGTAGTTTTTAAAAATTATTTTAATAAATGCAAAACTGATATTAAACAAAAATAATAGCTTTTAATTATAAAATTATAAAAAAATATCTCATTGAATCTTAGTCAATAATATTATTAAAAAAGGTGCTCCGCTGTACAGTAGGTTACAAGTAAAAAATAACCAATGGCAATCCTAGAAAAAAATATTCTTTTTTCGTGTGAGCTTCCTACATGCTATCATGCTGGACCTAATCGAACATCATTTAATCAATTATTTTTTTTAATTTTCAATAAAAATTGTTTCATGCGACAAATATTTTTGTCGAATGCGATAAAAACCTTCGACAAGAATACGTCGATGATAAAACAGAGTCGGTGGTACCAGGGTCGCATGGGCTAACCGCTTCGGCATTGCGTCGTCGGCTCTCCGCCGCTCTCGGCACATAGTTGTGTCGCGACGTAGGCTACGACTATGTTTCATCGGACATCACGTCACAGTATAAGTTCCTGTTACATATATTTCAATGTTTCGCGTTACCCGTTTCATCAACGTTTCCACAATGTTGCTGCAACGTTTCCACAATGTTGCTGCAACGTTTCCAGAATGTTGTACCCAATCTTTATTAATCATAGTATTTTATATTATACTCATAATAATAATTACTGGAGGACGGGTTCGATTCCTTGGTCATGGGCGGCATTTTTTTTTTCTATAAATATCAATTAAGTTTTATTTGTTGGGCCGAAAAGTGTAAAAATTTTATACAAGACAATAAATTATAAAATGTTCAGTTTTTATAGCTAAAGATTGCAAATTTAAAACAAAGGTTCTCATAAATAGTTCATACTGTAACCAAAAAATCTAAAAAATATATGAACACAGTTATTTTTTATAGACATTTTAAATTCAAATTTGGACTAAATTACATAAAAAAAAACCTAGAATAGCTATTTTAGTTATTTTGTTGTGATTGAATAATATTATTCGTGGGTACTTGAAACTTCTAAAGTGTACTATTATATATCTATGATAGTATCACGGTTTTTGTTGATGTATAACGCGTTATAAGTACCTATAATGGATATTGTGATATGATTAATTTGGAATTTATTATAGGTACCTATTATAGGTCAAATTTTGGTTTAGTACCATATATATGTATATAATATGTCGTATACCTAGACTGACATACCGTCTCCGCTCAGAATCGTTTTTCTTATACAATGTTATTATAACGTTGAATTCAAATTTAATATCAACCATTATACAGTGACCCACTTGTAACCTACTGTACAGCAGAGCGACACCCACTTGCCCACCTTTTTTTTTTGATAAAGGTAGACAAACCTTTGAGGAATCTTGTATTACATTTTAAAATCTTTGATTTAAAAAGAAAATTATTTATGAATTTCTAACTCGAAATAATTTTAAAATTTTCGTCATTTTTAAGTATTTTGTCAATATTTGAACTTTAAATGCTTATAAAAAAAAATTATGACTATGGATTTTAATTTTTTTCATCTGCCTTTTAAACAATATACTAGGAGCCTTCTATTAAATTTTAAAGCTTTTTTAACCAACAAATAACATTTTATTGATATTTATAGAAAAAAAACAAAAAAAAATGGAAACTGAAAATGTCCGTAAAGAGCTCAAAATAAATCAAAATATTTGGAAAACTATGTTATGGTGTATAGAAAATGCTCATATAAACATTCAGTCAAAATTTCATGTACCTACGGGCTACGGTAATTTGTTTAAGAGTTGCACCAAAAACCAAAATCGATTTTCTCGAAAACAGATTTTGCGTAAAAATTTCCTGAATTTTTCTTTAGTTTGTCAAGGCGCTTTTGAAAACTATTGGGAAATTTTTTCTTTTGATCCCCAAGGAACCAACTAGATTCACTTTCTTATCTGAAAAGATACTGTTGAAGAAAATCCAAGCACTTTTACTGTCCTAAAACGTGATGACAAACACAAAAAAAAAAAAAAAAAGCACACATCATTGTAAAATCAATACATTCATCGTCCCACTCAGAGTCTAAAATGTCCCACAGTTAAAGCATGGAAAATTTAGAGGAGAATTCAAGTTTGCTTTCAAAATTTAAACCGGAACATCCTACTGAGCGTAGTGATTGATGTCACTGGCAGTATTTTTTAACACTTTTCTTAAGTTTGGTTACACGTGTGTCTGTGATCAAATCTTGCGCGCTCGATTTGAGGCACTTTTTGAAGATGAAAAATTCTGAAAATTTGTATAGACCTTGGTCTTGGATGACAATACAATAATCCGTAAAAAAATTTTTTTTAACTAAAAAGTAGAAAATAAAAAATTAAAAAATTATTTTTAAAAAACACCCTTTTCTAAAAAAACAAAAAAATAATGAAAAATTTAAAAGTGTGTGGCGCTCTTAAACTTGACATATTATACCACACACTTTTAAATTTTTCATTATTTTTTGTTTTTTTAGAAAAGGGTGTTTTTTAAAAATAATTTTTTAATTTTTTATTTTCTACTTTTTAGTTAAAAAAAATTTTTTTAAAAAAAATGTTCGTAATTTTATAAAGTAATATTTGTTGACTTGTGCATGCGCGTAGGTAAAATTACAGACGTACTTCATATCCGGTCACTATATATGAATTACACACACTAATGAGTAATGTTTACTTACTTTCAACTCATTCACAAAACCCGGCCATATAAACTGAAATATAAAATTCCCAGTTTTTACTACTGAGAATGGATTATATTAGATAATATTTTAATTTATAATTTCACAATACTAATATTAATAAATAATATATTTATATATTTTATACGAGCAGCGGCCCACCGGTAAATTTCCTGGTATCTCGGTGACTCGGTTTGAGTGTATCTCAGTTCACGAACAAATCGGCTTCAGTGTACCTAGCTTTGTGAAATAATTCGACTTGGATGGGCAACCGCAAGTCGCGGATTGGATTTAACTATAGGTGCATTTTTTAACGTGGTTGAAACTAGTTACTCTATAAACTTTTCAGAAATCTCTAAAAAAAAATTCTGAGATTTTCGTCAAATTGAATTGAGTTTTTTTTAAGTATATAAGCAACACACTCATTTGGTTTTAAGACATAGTTTCTTAATTCGAGACCATAGCCGTGACAATTTTATGTAAGATGCTTGTAACTAATTGGCCCGAGTAATCAATGGAAACCATTTATACACCTGCGAAAAAAAAATAATACTAATTTCTACTTTTACTATTATAATCCGCAATCAATGGCAATCATTTATAAACAAAAAAAAATTTTATTTTCCACCGTGAATCTCAAGATCCCTGTTTGACCACCTCTTTAAAATGCAAATATCGTAAAATCCTTTCTTATTGCACATCTAGATCTAGAAGAACCACTATTCCAAATTTGTATGTTTTGTAGTTTTTGAGACATAGCAATGAATGAGTGAGTGAGTGGTATTTGTCTTATGTATATATAATTAGATATAATTGGGAACATAAGATGGAGAAAAAGAAGATAGAACCAAAATAAATATTATGCATTGTTACAGACATAAATGATTTATTAGAAAATGAACACTTAAGGTGTGAAAAATTCAAAAAATATATATTACTATTCACAGTCATTTTCATAAGTTTGTTGATAATTTCTTCTTTTTAAACATTTTGTTTTAGTGATTGTATTATTTTCTTCAATATTTATAACATTATTTACAACGGCATCTAAAAACATTTTGGTAATTTATAATAAAATATTAAAATATTTTAAGTGTTTTATATAATTTACCTTGTGATTGGTGAACATCTTCGCAGGATTCTTCTGTAGATGTATTTGGCATTATTATGCTTGAGCAATTATTCAAAAATGAATTTTCATTAATATTTGAACATGTGCTATCATTTTTTGGTTCGGGTAGCACAAATGGAGACATTGGTAATTTTTCTGAAGTCTTATCTATTAATTCGTCTTCATTAATTGAACACACAGTAGAGTTTACAAATGATGAAAATGTAGAATCCATTTCAGGTTCGTTTTCAGTTAAGTTAGAAAGAGACCACTGCCCTAATAATAAAGCAAGAGGGTCGTCTATACATAGTTTTTCACAAAAAGTAGTTGTCTGGGGATTTGTTTTAGATTTATAATTTTCAAGAGTAACAAAATTGTTTGGAATGCTCAAGTCATGAGAGAACATGTTAAGAACAGCTGTCTTTTCCTCTTCAGTTGGTGTAAAATTATACCTAAATATAAATTAATCATTTATTGTAAATACAATTGCAGAAATATTGATATAAAGTTTAATGTAATTTTATAGTTTATATAAAAACCTTTCTGAAGCAGAAGGTCCTGGTAAATAATACATGTTACTGTTAATATTTAACAAATGATTCGTAAGATGCAAAATTGAAAGCCATTCCAGATCATACATTAAATTAATTGATTTAGAATCATCATGAGGAACATCTAAAATCTGTAAGAATCTTTTTTTTGGCAAACACTTGTCAAGCGACAAGAATTTAGTAGATCTTTTCTCCATTTCTTCCTGTTAACGTATAAATTAGATAATATTATTAAGTAGCTAAAAACATTAATAATAAATAGGGCTCGGATTTTGCAGCAAATGTTTCTGTTTATTTAAATAAACAATTTTATTTATGGTTTTTTTTTGTGTAAATGCTTTTTTTGCTTTTCTCAGTTATTCTAACTGTGGAATTTGAAGTGAGAGTTTTCATTTAAAACAATTTTTATTTAATTAATAAGAAATGTGAAAACCCGGAATTCAAACTAAATGGTTATATTTTATTATTGGCTTGTTTGTATATCTATGTATAATATAAATATAGATTTTATTGTAGATTATATTGCATATAGCCTGTAGAACCTACATTGAGTACTCGTATAAGATCGTTATCGACCCTTTCAAAAGTTTAAAAGTGTTGTAATTTATAAAAATGCCAAAAGTTAAAACAAATGCATTTTTAAAAACGTTAAATGAAGCTATTGGAGATATTGCAACTGCAATTTCGGGTAAACTACTAAATGGGTTCTTTTGAAAAACAAAGATTGGAAACAATTACTGGACATTAATAATATACTGTGTGGCGCTTCATCAAACAAAATTAAATTTCATAGGTTTGATTTAAACGAAACCTCTTGCATGAAGAATGCACTGATCACATCAGTGCGATATGTAGAGAGTTTGTTTTCTATGAATAAAAACATTCTGGCAGACATTAAAGTCAGTTTAACTACTGAAAATCTTGCCAAATACATAGTATTAAAAATACATGGTAGTGAATTATTTTTTCAATTTAAATTAATATTAAAATATATTTTATAACTAATTTGAGTTAATTTTTGGTCATTCTTTTTTTTTTGCTTTTTTAAAAAAAATAATATGCTTCATTTATGCTTTTTAAAACAATTTTGAGCTATTTTTGTTATTTATTATGCTTTAAAATCCGAACCCTAATAATAAACAATCATGCCTCCAATAAATTTACTGATTCACAGCCTGTCTCTTTTCAATCATTAAATATAAAGGTTTATTAATTTTAATTACATTTTACTATTTTATTCCTATCATTAGAACACATAATTATTTCAAAGCAATGCGAGTTTAAGATATTCAACACATTTTATATTAATATCAGTAGAAACATAGTTACATTATCGTCTGATGTATGGTGTACTATGGCAGCAAATTTACAATGAAGATGAGCGGCAAACCAGTATTTTGGTTTTAATGCATCCAATAATTCTCTTGCAGGTTTACTACCCAATTTGCCTTCATTAATATCTGTTCTAAAACAATGAATGCAAATGTAAATGTAAATTTATGTTCTTTTTTTTTTTTTTTTAATCTGGATTCAAATATATTTAAATAAACTTTGCGCTTACTCAAAAAAAGGTTTGTATTTAAGTAATTGTTTAACATTGCCATGATTTTCTATTCCTTGAGGCCAATCGTGTGATAACATTATGTCAATTGGTTGTTGCAGCTATAAATATAAATCAAAGCATTTATTTTAAGGCATTTTAAATATATCTAATTTAAATTAAATAAAAACTTGTTTATATTTACTTGTTTCAATCGAAATACTTCCAATTGTCGAATATGATATATACTTCTTTTTGTTTGTTCAGTGTATGGTTGTTTTTCAAATCTACCTCGCATATAATCATTAGATTTGTAAATACCAGATAATCCTCCAATTCGAATACCACCAACATTAATTACACCAGCCAAACCTATATAGTATATATTGGGTGCTGCCCAACCACCATAGCTTAACTCTTGTAAGTGATTGGAAGCTTCGTGGTTTCCACCAATAAATATAGTTAAAATCGGTGCCACTAACTCTCCAGTATAATATCTGTAAAAATGTATTTCTTTTATTTTCAAAACAAAATAATTTAATCTCAACAACTAACTTGTAAAAAGTGCACATCTGTCTATATTTAATTGGAACTGCCATCGTTAAAAGATCTTCATTATTTCGTGTTGCTTGAAAATCGCCACAGCATATTAGCAAATCTACTTTTATGTTGTCACGTTTTTCAATCAAGTTTATTGTATTGTAGATATGCTGGAGCTCCCCATGAGCACATCCTTCAATGGCAATTTTCATTATGCTTGTATAATAATCTCTAGAGTCAAATAAATTATTTAGATAAATTAAAATTAAATAATAATAATAATATATATACTGAAACAGACTAACAACTCACTTCTAACACTTAAAACCTGAAAGGTGTATGTACTTTATACAAATGTACTATGTACTACGAGTTTCTAAGACTCAAACAAGTAGAAATTATTAATTGTATTATTTAAATGTAACTATATTTTTATCATATACTAGAAACATAATAGTATAGGGTATATTATTTAACTTATATAGTTTTAAGTCTGAATATAATAAATAATAATGGTTTGACCAAGTATTTAAAAATTTTAAATTTTAGCTCATAATAACAAAACATTCAAACATGATAAATGATAGTGATAATATATCGTGGTGATAATGTATAGCCGGACAGTGTGGAATATTCACAGATATAAAACACATTTATATGGCGCGGTCTGTCTGTGTGGGTCTGTCCACAGAATATAACGGATCACTACCTTTTGTTCCACAAAACCTTTGTTCCACGATATATTTGTTCCAAATTAATTAAGGTCCAAATCTTACCTTTTGTTCCACAAAATATTTGTTCCGATGGACTTTTGTTCCGCAAAACATTTGTTCCTATGGAATTTTTTTCCATAAACCATTTGTACCAATACACTTTGTCCCATGAATATTTGTTCCAAAAAACGTTTGTTCCAAGTGTTCCTAACCGCTCCGCAAATCGAAAATATCCCCCAACTTGCTGTGCAACACCTCCCCAAGTGGGTCACAGGGTTGAGAAAATTGCATTTTTGTTACACCCAGCCACCAATTTGAAAAAAAACATCGTACAGTGATGCGGTGCTAGCGGCACTCGTCGCTACGCTCCTCGGCGCCGTCGCTCCGCTCCGCAAATCGAAAATATCCCCCGACTTGCTGTGCAACACCTCCCCAAGTGGGTCACAGGGTTAAGAAAATTGTTTTGTGGAACAAATAGTACTTAAAAAAAAATATTATTAAGATCCACAAATAATTTGTTCCAATTACTATTTGATCCGCAACATATTTGTTCCAATAATTATTTGTTCCACGAAATATTTGTTCCAATTACTATTTGTTCCAAAAACTATATGCTCCACATTTGGAACAAGTAGTTTGTGGAACAAATAGTAATTGGAACAATTATTTTGTGGAACAAATAATACAGGCCCGAATATAACAATGTCGTCTGTCGTAAAAAGTCCCTACCTTTTGTTCCACAAATTGTTTTTTAGGGCAACTTATTCCCACAGATATAAATTAATGATAAGGAATAAAAAGAACCCTTATCATAACTGATAAGAAAAAGTTTTTGCCGTGTCAATTATAAATTGTCGACTGTCGTCTATGATCTGCGTGAGTCGCATTCGCATGGCAATAATTTCCTTACTGATTACTTCACAGTTCACAAATTGTTAATAAAGAAGACTAACAAGGAATCGAGGTTGGTTAATTGTAATGTTTCAGTTATTTAAAAATTAACAGTTTTTAATATTATAAAATTAGTTATTTTTTATTTTTTGTTTCAGAATGAATTTTTTAAGCAATTTATTCCAAAGAGCCACAACAATAAACTACAGAGCTCCTCAAATATTATCAGTGTTACATACACCACCAGTTACTGGATTAACTATAGTACCTTCTAGAGGATTCAAAGTTTTTGGAAAAGTAAGAAAGCGTTGCAAGGATTGTTACTTTGTTACCAGGGATCAACGATTATACAATTTATGCAAAACTTTTCAAAAACATAAGCAAATGAGCATCAGGCACACAGACAAGGCTTACTATATTCTCACAGGTGTACAGCAAAAAAAACAAAGGGAATGGTGATGGAAATGAGCATAACATAATACACTTAGTTAAACAAATTCAACTTTTTTACATTCTTTGATGATAACATGTATTCACTATTTGGTGTTCTTTAAGTTAATAGTTATTTGTTGTATAGACTGAAATGTAGGTAAATATATAAACAATATAATATTTATTTTATTTTGTTGTATAAATTATTTTATCTTTATATAATTGCCTATATTGAGTGTTTAATGATTTAATATTTTTAACATTTGTTTTTTGAAGAAATACCACTTAAACAGATTGATTGTAATAATAGTTCTGAACTTGATATATATTTGATTTGTAAAATACAAAATGTCCATAAACGAAAAAATTACATTTGGTCTCTCAGAACCATTAAAATAACAAATACAAAATGGCAATAAATCAATAATGGTTTATCCTTAGTGTTTGAAGTAAGTACTAAGTACTACTAAATAATCCTAAATAGCTAGTTAATAGTTTCATTATTGTCAAGAGTTTCCCATTGTATAAATTTAACTTATTAAGATTGCCTACAGGATTATGGCTAATGAAAAACGATCAGAGCATCAGGAAACACAAGTCTTAATACTTATTTTGGTTTGATGTTAATTTAAAAGGTGTTGATTCAATGGAAAAACATGTTTATTTAAGTATTTATATTCTATTATATTATATAAGATTTAAGACTGCAGATTGCAGTTAAAATATTTTTAGTTCCTACTCATTAATTTTAGAGGAGAACTTCTGTGAGAAAACTGTAAAGCGTTTATATTTTCTTAATGTTATTCATAGATTTTACATAATTAATTTGTAAATATTAGTTGAGTTTTAAGTATTTAATCTTAGCTTTTAATACATTTATGAACAGATAAAATATTCTTAAAATGCCTAAATGCGTAAAAAAAAATGAATAATTTAATGGACCAAGGAGTTCAGATCATGTTCAGATTTATATTTATTTTCAATGCCTATTACAGTATTATAATAGCATGACAAATTATAATTTGTCATGTATAATAGTATATTATTATATTACACTACAGGACAGTGGCATAGTGAGGGGTTTCGGGTGTCCTGTGGCCTATAATCTATATGGTTATTAAGTGGGTAGTAGGTACTGGGTGTCATTAAAAATTGGAGTAAAGAAATTTGTATTTGAGTTGGTAAGCTGTATTTGGCTTTTGATCAAGGAGTAGTTCTCTACGTCACTGCAACAGTGTTGTTTCTAATTCTATATTTTTCTGTCTACTGTGCTGCTACATTGATCACCACTCGCCAGGGCCTGCGAGTTACCGAGAAAATCTCGGTAGGCAACTCAACATATGGGCTGGTCATAAGAGTAATATTATTTGTATATGATAAAATATAAATGATATGTAAATTATGAGAAATTAGTAGAAAATATGATTGAACTGTATTACTAATCCGTACAGTAGCACTGGCTAACCGCAGTCAAACGTCAGAATTTTAGAAATCTTAAAACTCTTAACTCGACCTCGTCCACTCGGCGGGCCTAGAGCATCGTAACCCCGAATTATCAATTTCTTAACACGGGACTCAACTGTCCCCATCCCGGTTGATATTATGTGTTTTTATTGTGTTTGGCACACTGAGTATCTTGCGATAATTTGTTGTTTTTGAGGTTATTGTTCATAAGACTTAAATACTTGATATTATTATAGTTCTTACAACTTTGCAAGCATAAATGTATTTTAATTTATAGGTCTTTGCGTACAACTTTATACTACTTTATATATGATAGTCCTTTTATAAATATTATAACTATTGTACAATTTTTGTTCTTTGAGTATATAAAGCTGGAATACATTTTTTTTATTTATTTATGTTCAATAAATTAATTTAAACTTGGTTGTTTCAAAACTAACAAAATGCCTCCTAAGCCGAAAGCTCAGGGAACTAGTAAAAAAGCCGATGCTAAGAAAAAAGAAAGAGTTATTGAAGTAAGATGTAAAATTTTATATTTACCTATATTAACAATTTAACAATTATAAAAATCTATAGTGTTTATTCAAACTCTTATCAATTACCTACTTATTTGATTTGCAGGATAAAACTTTTGGCCTAAAAAATAAAAAAGGAGCCAAACAACAAAGATTTATTCAACAAGTTGAGAAACAAGTTAAATCTGGAGGATTAGTGCGTAAAGTAGATGACAAGAAAAAAGATGATAAGACTAAAGATGAACTGGGGTTGATATTCAAACCAGTTCAAAAAGTTGAAAAAGGTAAGACTTCAGGTTTAGTTTAAAGTTTTAAACATTGATTTGAGTCCTGAACAATTTGGAACTTTTTACTTACCTAGTATAGTTTTTTTACGGGTTAACTTATCATTTTTGTTGCTTTATAAGAAATCGCATTTAATATTTTGGTTAGTAAAGAGAAGCAAATAAATAAAGAACTACCTAGTATGATAAAAACAGCTAGGTATTTTAATTTTGTACAAATGTTTATTATTTCATTATTATTCAGTACAATTTAGCATTAATAATAATTCTATTATGAAGTCTTGTATAAAATACTTTGTTTTTAAAATTTCAATTTGGATGTACCATATTTAATTTAATATTAAACAAAAATCAATTAGTCTAAATCTCTATTTTATTAATTTGAAAATAATATTATGTATTATTTATGATACCAGTAATTTTTTTTTACAACAAATTAATTAGGTGCCGATCCAAAATCTGTACTATGTGCATTTTTCAAACAAGGTCAATGTGCTAAAGGGTCAAAATGTAAATTTTCTCATGATTTGGCTACTGAAAAGAAAGCTGAAAAAAGAAGTATGTATGTGGATCTGCGAGATGGTGAAGAAAATGATACTATGGAAAATTGGGATGAAGACAAACTTAAAGAAGTAGTAGACAAAAAACATGGAGAAACCAATAAAAAACATCCATCTACTGATATTGTTAGTTACTTAAACATTTTGATATTGTATAAATCTACATTTTAATGCAATATTTCTATTTCAGATTTGCATGTTTTTTTTGGAAGCTGTTGAAAAAAGTAAATACGGATGGTTCTGGTCATGTCCAAATGGTACCTCTTGTATTTATAGACATGCGTTGCCTCCAGGATTTGTTCTTAAAAAGGTTGGTTTTTAGTTTATTATGTACAATATAGAATACAAACTTAAATTAAATGGCAGGGTATTATTATTATTTATATTTTTATATCACTTACTAATTATATTTAGGACAAGAAAAAAGATGACAAAAAAGATGAAATTCAATTAGAAGATTTAATAGAAAGAGAAAGAGCTGCATTGAATTCTGTTAAATTTACTAGAGTCACTTTAGAAAGCTTTTTAGCTTGGAAAAAACGTAAAGTTAGAGAAAAGAAAGATGCGATAATTAAAGATGAAGAAAAGAAACGAACAGACTATAAAGCTGGAAGACAAATTGGGGTTTGTAATTTATTTATTTATTTTTAAATTTTAATTAAATAAATTATTTATAATTTTTTAGCTTTCTGGTCGTGAAATGTTCTCGTTCAATCCTGAGATGGCAATTGGTGATTCAATGGATGACGGAGAAGAAGCATTTGATGCTTATATACGTGATGAAGATGAAGATGCAGATGGAAATGTAAAAGTAAGTTGTGTATTAAATTTAGATTAAATATTAGATGAACCATTGAAAAAGCCTACTAAAATGTTCTGAGTACTTCAATAACCTATAAATACGGAGCAATTACTGAGTGATCTATATTTATTATAATCTTATAAATAGATAACAGACATTTATTCAATTTGTTAATTCATAAACATTTTTTTTTACTCATTACCGCGGAATAGATTTAGTAATTTTTACTATTTTCTAGTACATAATTTTTTTCTTATTGCTTTGCCACTTGATAACCATTATATTATTGTATAGAATTATAAATTAATTAAAATATTATTATAGTATACATATAATATTTCATACTTACACATAAGTGAATATACACAAACAAATATGACAATTTCCTAATGAACCTTTAATTGTAATTTCTGGACCATTGTCACACATTTTACTTGATTAATGGTATGTTTTTATTGTAAAAAATTGAATGCCAGCATATTGCAATAAATAACTTTTTAAAATTCAATTTTAAAATAAGTTAGAAATGTTTGTTATAAATATACTATTATATGTAGATACACTTGAAAGTTGAAACTTCACATATTATATAGCGACAAGCTGAAAACATACCAACATAATTCTAATATAGTACAATACATTTCTAATAATATAGAAAATATTTACCCTTTTCTTTAAATAAAGCACGTTCTCGATCTGCATACATGTAAGATATTAAGATTTAGAGAACTACAGATTTCTATATAAAATACTGTTGATGTATGGTCACTTGGTGGTGGAGCATTAGAAAATAGTTACCAATGTTTAAAAATATTTCACATATAATTGTATACTGTGTTATCCTCTCAGATAAAATTTAATATTTATGTAAACCTTAAAAATTAATTCATTTTAAAACGATGTTTGGAACATTTGTATGTATACTTAATTGCTTGGATATATTATTATTTATTCTATTTATGTAATTTATAATTTTTATAGGTTAGAGAAATTCAATTAGAAACATTAGAATTGGAAGCAAGTGAAGTAGATGATACTGGTACCCGGTTACCCCAGGATCGATTTAATGATTCTGATGTTGCTACGATCCCAATCAATGAAAACCTTTTTGTGGATGAAGATCTGGATGATCTGGATGATGACTTAGATGAATTAAATATAGATGATGATGATGATTCTACAAATTAGATAAAAAAAAAAAAAAAAACTGCTTCAACAAATAATTATTTTTAATAATAACTTTTAAATTTCTTCCTCTTGTTATTAAATATAATTAAAAAAAAAAAAAAGTATACATGCTTATGATCATAAATTTTCTACAGTCTCACAAATTTTCAGTGCTGATTCTACACAACCATTGAATGTTGACTGGGTGAAACTATCTCCACCAGCTAAAATTGGAATGGATTCATTTAGCAAGACACATCCTGGATTGTTATTATAAGGAGTTGTGACTTGTGAATATAACCATTTATGAACATTGCTTGATGCAGGTAATGGCCAGTCTGGAAATAATTTGTTTACTTTATCATTTAATGTTTGAAACATACTCTCAGTGGTTTCTTTTATATGTTTTTGTCCAAATTCCTTGGTTGTATGGAAAACAACACAATCTGGTGAATTATACTGTTCTCGTTTTCTATTTTCTATAGAAACGTATCTAAATGTTTCATCATCCATAAATTGTACGTCCCATTCTGTTTCTAGTACTGGATTTTCATAAAACATATTATACGTAAAACGTGCACTGTAAATAACTTTTTCAAGTTCACTGCGAACCGTTTGAGACATTGGGCAATCCATTTGAAGAATTTGTGGTGCTGGTGCTGTTATAACTATTAAATCAAACGACTCTTCACTTCCACAAATACATGTCACTTTACCTGTAGGTGTAATTGCACAAACTCTCCTTTCAAATTTGGTACAATCTATATTAGCACTGTTCAAAAAATATTTTACTAATGAGTTAGCACCGTTTGGTGCAATAAAGTGTTGCTTGTGGTGAGAATCTGCTATCCCTTTGATTTTGCAATTCATAGGTGTTAACGTTTTTGTGGAAATTAATGGTTCGTATATATCTGAGTATTTTGATAATGTTGATGCATCAGTGGAAATGAATTGAGCCCCAAGGTCAACAAATGTACCGTTGGGACCTCGACGGACTGAAGTGCGGCCACCGGGGCCTCTGGCTTTGTCCCATAATGTCAAATGAATATTTGGTATACGAGTACGTAACAAGTAGGCCGTTATTGTAGAAGTTAATCCACAGCCAATTAAAAGTACTTTCATTTTAAAAAATATATATAAAAATAAAAGAAACAATAATTTACCACTTATAAAGTAATAACTTGAGGTTCTGGTAGGAAATGTATTATGTATGGAATGAAATTACTAAAAAGAAAATAATATTGTATTATTATATCATATACTATACTATAGTAGTGTAGTACTACACTATTATATTATCGTGTATTCACATTTTCCATAATAATATGGCTTATCGGTGTACGACATTGCCAAATAAATAGGAATGACTGCAAAAAAATCAGTTTTCGTCCTGTTTGCGCATCTCCCCACTATTCTAAACGCAAAACCATTGCTAGTAGTTCTCCGCCATTTCGTTGGTCGGCAACGAATATTAAAGGAGCAGAGAACTGTGTGATGGACGTGGCAAGGGTGGTATGCGTATCACAAAGTTGTGAACATACCTATTTAGTCGTGGTGTTACAAGTTTATTGTGTGATAATAACATTCAATAAAATGATTTGTGGGAGGGGGGGCGCAAGGTCAGCTGATGGTTCTATATCAAGTAATTATAAATACATATAATATATTATATTCAATGGTTCTATCACAGAATAGGTGAAATATATTATTTTATGTATTATATTATATAAAAATATATGATTCACATATTATATGGATTGGTGTGCCGCGAATATTTTGTAGGAGATGAAGTGTCCTACATTGTTAAAAAGGTTGAAATCCACTGTATTATATTATACTCATATTATATCGTTTGAAACACCAAATGCGAATGGACTTCATCGATCTATTTTATCTATTCCCCGAGTTGTATTTTAATATGACGTGTGTTTTTGTAAAAAGTTCTGGGACTCAAATTTCGTGCGGGCATAAATATATATTTATAAGTAAGCTATATACTGCTATAATAGCTATTAGCTATATAGGTACTTATGTAATTAGTGACAACGTTACAATTTACATATAACCAGCCGACAGGGGTGGACTGGGCCACTGCAGAGCAATAAATTGTACAGTGGGCCGATATCATAATATTATGTCCCCAGGCTGAAGCCTGAAGCTACTAAATAGTGTTTACCTACCACTGAAGCTCAAACTTACGGCGCGGTGTTTGCCGCAGAGACGTCTACATGGTTGCACTTTTATTTCAGTGTGTATTCGGTTATTTCCATATTGCGATGCAGTACGAGAACAAATAACATTATCCGCAGGCATATAACACCGAGCTGTTGGCGAATAGGCAAATATTATAATATAATTCGTAACTAGTCGAAACGGAGAGACGTGGACTTATAATATATCGCTCATATAATATTACGCGCACCCGTACATGGCTCGATTTTGGGGTGGTTAAACGGAAGGTGAAGTAAATCATTTGTCAACCACTCTATAGTATAGATAATTTTTAATTTTTTTACTATCATGAAAATCGATGACATCCATGACAATACGGGGTTTAGTAAGTTCCCACACGAAACATAGCAGGTAAGCGGGTACATATGTAACATATGTAAGTTCCCTCACGGAAAAAAATACACCCATACGTAAGTTCCCACACGAAAATTTATTCAGGAACTGACAGCTTAAACGTAGTTGGTCCAAATATATAATAAAAATTAATAATATAATGTATAGGTATAGTCCACTTATTATTTGTACTTTCGCGAGCGTTTGTAGTATCAAGACTTGTATCAGAACTAGCACTAGCCCAAATACTAGGGGGAAACTATATCAATAACAAAATATCAGATTACAATACTTAAAAATAATTACACAGTATGACTATGTGAAGGGTTTGAGCTTTCGCAATAAGCCAAATAAAATTTAATTTTTTCTATTACTATTATTATAATTATTATAACTATTATTATTTTATACCTACTTATACAAATAATATGAGGACCATACCTACACATTATATTATTAATTTTTATTATATGTTTGGACTAGATTTAATTAAAAAATTGATTGTACTTTTTTTATGAAACACAAACACAAGCAGATTTTAACCAAACCAACTACATTTAAGTTGTCAGTCCTAAGTCTGAATAAAATGGGAAGGAAGTTTGTATTTGGTGTAATTTTTTTCGTGTGGGAACTTACGTATGCATACCTGGGTGTGATTTTTACCTGCTATATCTCGTGTGGGAACTTACATTCGCCCGACAATACAATATCCACCTGCGTGACCATATAGGATTATTACATATATTTGTGCAAAGCGAATGAGGTAGATATAATAGATAGGTTAAATACATAGTACATACTTTATAATGATACGTTTAATATGAGTAACATAATAATATTAATAATATTAATTTAATACAGAACAAAACAGGTGGCGATGAGCCGACGATGGTACAGATACATATTACCTACTGGTCTATCATGTCAATAGAACAACAACAACAAAGGAACCGCCTGACAAATTTCTTTGTCTGGCACCAAAATGAACGACGAGGACGTCTGTGTCTCGGACTTTCTGGTTTCCGTACATCGCTGGTGACCTGCTGAAACTTTAGATTTGGCGTTGATCTCCACCCCATATCTGCAGCTGTCTCGCCAGCTAATTTTGGATGTACGGGGATGTTTGGCTCAGATACACAGAGCCTGCCATCCAGAAAACCTTTGGAATCAAAATTTTTCGACGATTTCGGTTTTTGTACATCGCTGGTGACCTGCTGAAACTTCAGATTTGGCGTTGATCGCCACCCCATATCTGCAGCTGTCTCGCCAGCTAATTTTGGATGTATGGGGATGTTTGGCTCAGATATACAGAGCCTGCCGTCCAGAAAACCTTTGGAATCAAAATTTTTCGACGATTCCGGTTTTCGTACATCGCTGGTGACCTGCTGAAACTTCAGATTTGGCGTTGATCGCCACCCAATATCTGCAGCTGTCTCGCCAGCTAATTTTGGATGTACGGGGATGTTTGGCTCAGATATGCAGAGCCTGCCGTCCAGAAAACCTTTGGAATCAAAATTTTTCGACGATTCCGGTTTTCGTACATCGCTGGTACGGTTAAACTTCAAATTTGGCGTTGATCGCCATCCAATATCTGTCGATTTGGCAGAGGAATTTTCACACATCGCGGCCATGTTAGGCATAGATACACATCTATATGACATATTTATTTGATAATATTATATAGGCAGAATTAACGGAGAATAAGTTTATACAGAAATACGTAGAAATGAAATTTATTCGTAATGAACACAAGAAATGAATATTGACAAGTGGTAACTATGTGACACAGATATGAATTGTAGATTTTTGAAACATTCACGTACATGGCAACGATATTTTAGTTGTTTGTGTTGTTTTCTTAGAGCCAATATTAATAATGTTAATGAAGTTGAGAATTTAATATTCCTGTTGAAAAATTAATAATAGCTGGTAGGTAGTCTGGTAGTCAATAAATAAACCATGTCTGACTATACTGTTATCAGTTTGATAAATTTACCTTTTTCACCTCTAAATACTGTACATAGACAGAAATTTAACATGCGCCTCGCATGGTCATCATAGTAAAAAAAAAATACTTTAAAATATGTTGAATTGAAAAAACATTAATTTAGGACAATCAAATGCAAAATCCCATGGTAGAGGTCCCTGAACATATAACATGTATTTTTCATTGTTTTTACATAGTTTTTTTTCATTCAAATTAATATTTTATGACTTCATTATGAAGTTTATCTTTATACTGGAATTACATTAAATTATATTATTATTTGTGACTAGGTATACTGTTATCAGTTTGATATATTTAGATTATAATTTATAATAAACTTAGTAGATGTAGAAGATAAACTTCCCTACATCATAAAATAAACAAAATATAATTTAATATAATAACAAATTGTTTAATCATTTGCTAAAATAATTGGTAAATCTGAGTTCAAAATTGTTACCTCATCAAA